TGACTACTTCTCTATAGGACTGTTCACTTCCTGGCTACTGATTTGAAAGCACAGAGAAACTGTTTATTCTGATTTACCCAGGCAAATAGCTGTTGAGGGGGTTTGGTCTGTTATAGTCATCTGGAAGGTAAGTAATTACTGTAGCTTTTGCAGGTTGCTCAAGTGCAGGTTAGGTTCTAAAATAGCAGCTTTGTGTGGATATCTGCTGCTGTGTAAGCTCTGGAGTGCCTAATCGTGCACTTCAGTCTTGACTGTAATCAGTTTTGTACACTGTTAGAAAGCATACCGGGATGTAGGCACAGTACATAAATACATTGTATTTTTCAGTGATTTTAATTAAAATGAAATCTTCTAAATTAATGTCTTTATAGCTGTTAGATAGGCCTGGCAGGATGGTGTGGCATATTCAATTTCTTTGAATTTGCTGTTTCTAATCCAGTTTGATGCATCTGGTCAATAAATCTTGCTCATCCTTTTCTTCCCAATTTACGCTGTTAGATCAACCAATGATCCAGGAAGCAATGAGCACCAGACTGATCAGGAGGCCCAAGTACATAAAGGCCTTTCAAGGAGAAGTCAGGCTGTTGGGGCAGTGCTGAGTGTCCTCCTGGTGGTTCTTACTGCATGCTTAATAATTTTGCTGTTCTACAAAAAAGAGAGAAGGTAAGAAATGATTGGGAGGCTTTCAAAGTTTCATTGGTAGGATGTGGTTTCCTCAGAGAGAGAGAAGTAGTAAACTTTAGAGATTTAAGTTCTGGTGTTCAGTTGGCTGCCTCAACTGTCAAGTTGCTGTGTTTTTTTGTTTTTAATTCCCCATTAATTATTGTCTGAAGGCCCATGTAAAGAGTACTGGAATACACAATTGAATTGGGCTAGTCTTTGTTGTATACAACTGCTAATTAAGGAGGATAAAACAATGTGACAATATTGTTAGTATTTGATCTCTCATGGTGTCAAGCTGGAGCCATACAACAGCATCAAGGAGTAAGTGCAAGTCCTGCTGATTCTCTGCTTTCCAGACAAGTTTGTTTGTTTGTTTACCTTAAATGTAAAGGCTAGAGGTGTTTCAGAAGTCACCCTGAAGCTGTGGTAAGGAGGAAGATGTACATCGTCATGAGCTTCATTTTGTTAGAGTGGTTCAGGGTCAAGTGTTACTGTGTAATAGCTTGCAGCTTTCTTGGTGAAATGTTTTATATTGATGGTGAAAATCCAGTGAAGAAAAGTGAGGGCTAATAAGAGGGATACAGTCTTCCTAATGCAGTATTCTTTCCTTTTCTTAGGGAAATTGTCATAAACAAGATAACAAACTGCTGCAGAAGAACATCGGCTGTTTCCTACAAATACACAAAGGTAATAATACAGTGGCAAAATAAAAGATTTTGTTACCTGTAGAGTTTCCTTAATATGAATCTTTTATTAATTCCCCTTAATTCCTAGTTCCTTTAGTGCATGGAAACCATACTGTTAGGCTTCAGGACAGCCACATAGCTGAGATATCTACATTTATATTGTGAAATGGGAAAGGCAGATTGGAGTTGAGGAAATGAAGAGCAAGTGCATAAACAGCTAAACAACGCAAAGTGTACAGGAAGAGCAAGACGGAGAGAGACATAATGAAAAGCATGCCATTGCAGTATTATCTTATGACTAAGTTAAACCTAAGACTGTGTGTGGTGTGGGGTCTGTTGACTGGGGAGGTAAGTGTGTAGCAGAGTCTAGAGTGGTATACACGATCTTCTCCTGCATTGTGGGTCTTTGTTGTTTTCTTGCAGATAAACAGTGAAGAAGCTGCTAATGAGAATGAAACAGAGTGGCTTATGGAGGAAATCGCAGCACCAAATCAAAGAACAGCAAAAGGAGGGCAGGAGAATGGTCATGTTACTACCAAGTCTGTTACGTCTGAAGCCTTTACCTCTCTCCATGTGGATGACCTGGACAGTGAGGATGAAGTGTTAACCATTCCAGATGTAAAGATTCAGACAGGAAGAGGACTAGACAAGCACCCACAAAAGAAGCTGCCCAGTCTTGGCAGTGATAAAGCTTATTTGCTGAATGGGGGAAAGGAAAAGAAAGGAAAAGCCAAGCCAGGCCAGCAGCAGACACAGAACTCTACAAATACAGTATCATTTCATGATGATAGTGATGAGGACTTGTTGAATATTTAATGACCCCCTTGTGCCTAATCAGATATATATGTATAGAGAAATTATATATAACAGGACAACATTTCCAACCAAATAAGAGGACTTCAGCCTGAAAGATTTTTCTGAATTTTGCCTTTAACAAGAAACCATTGAAAAGGGAAGAAGAGAGAGATTTCTTGGTTGTTTACAATGATCTGTTCAGCCATGACTGGGCTCCCAGTTGGCTGAGTTACATTGATTCTCTCTAGCCAGGACACACATCTTTTTGTTTGGTTTTTTTTTTTAAGCCTCAGCATAGGTGTTAAATACTTGCTTAAAAAAGAGAAACCTTTGAAAGGAAGGGATTAAGGCTGAATGAAGCCCCTGGCTCCTGAGTCTCAAGTGATCTGACTACTAGCATTTTGACTCCTTGTATTTATTGATCCTCACTACTCAGGTTTGCTTAATAGCAACATGTTCTTCCTGCCGGCAGGGTATTATTCTGTGGGTTCACCCATTGTAAGACAAGAAAAAACAGAACTTGTGCGTTGGGATGATTTGATGTAAATTTTGGAACTGGTCTAATTTATCCTGTAAGTTTGAATATCCATTCTAATTTAAACAGATCATTGGTTCAAAGGTATTGACTGAAAGGTACAACTCTGTATAGCTTTAGCCTGAAATGGTTGCTGTTGTTTGCATGATATTTTTTTGGTACTGGTCACATGACTGACTTCATCAGTATTTGCCTAAGCAGCTGATAAGCACCCAAAGATTTATTATTTCTTTTTCCTAGATTATGGCTGGACTAGGCCGACTGCACAGAGAGCCAGTTTGCAAGGACATAGAGGCAGAATTCCTATAGCGCAATCTGCACTGCCAGTTTGTAATCACTGAGAAAAGTCCAACAACTAGAGGAGCCCTAGTGGGCACAATACCTCTCTCTGGTATTAGTTAGAAGAAAAAAAGAATTAGGCCAATGTTTTCTGACCGTCTTAAGTTCTAGCTCTATGTTATGGCCCTGGCCATGGTCATTGATTTGAAACATTGCTGGCAGTGAATGCCAGTCAGCTTTGCTCAGTCTTGATCTTCTCCAGGTGTTTCCTAAATTAAATTATGGGCGGTGATAGGGTTTCAAAGCATAGTACAAGTACATGCGTTGGTCAGAATTTTTTGAGACTTTTCATTGTTCCTTTTGGCTGGCTTTCTCAGTTTCAACAATGGTTTCTTTTTATAAAAAATCCATTTTGAATCAAAATAGTGTAATATAAAGTATTCAGCAATTTCAATAAAAGAGATGAAGTGGGTATTCCAAATCCCACATCTCAGGTCTGTAATCTTCCTTACACTAGTTTGTAATGCTGCTGCTCAGCCTGGTGATACCCTTTTTTGCTGTGATTGCTAAGATCTTAAATGCATAACTCAAAACAAGACCTGATGTTTGGTGACAAAGATTAGAATTTATAGGTAAGTCCCAGTGGTGTAGTCTTTCTTTTATCAGACTTGGGCTTTCTTCCTCTTGTATTGTTACAGGTGAAGCTGTAAATCAGTTTGGCTATAGCTGCATCTTTTCATACCTAAAACCAAAGTTATTTTTCATATTTAGCATTAGGTTAACTTGGGGAACTGAGAGGCTTGACAGTATATTTTTAATGCTGTCAGTTACCACTGCAGCATTTCTCTTAATATTGAAGAATGCTGCTTCCCTTCTCCAAGTCTTCAAGGCTGGCGTCTTAGAGTTGTTTGCTCCATGAACTGCTGCACTGTGTGACTTCCCATGTATTAAGGCATAGCACCGCAAAGTCTCTTCATCGTTAACTGTGTCTAACAAGGCTTAGGTAGAATGGAGATACTCTGCCTCCTTATCCAAGGAATGACATATTTCTTGTGTCAGTGATGTATTTTCTAATATGCAGTTGACAGTAGTGAGTGACCTTGCCTAGTCTTTGAACTATTGTCCACATTTTATCTAGGCATTTATAGATATGCCGGCTGAATTGTGTCTTGTTCAGAGCTGGATGTGTGACTTGCTTCACTGAACTATTTTTCCAGTAGAATACCCTGCTTAACCATAGAGAGGAAAGTGAGAATAGTGGAGACCAGATGACTATGTACAAATGACTGGGATAGGAGCAGAAACCCTGCCAGTCAACAGCATGGCTCTCTGTAAGTGAGCCTTTAAGACACCAGCCTGCATGGCACAGTGCCACCCAACCCCTGTCTGGACTGCACACAGGGGAGATTGGGGAAAAAAGGGCCAGTCTGGATCTAACTGTTGTAGTTCATCTGGAACTTATGCATGCCATTACCAGCTGTTTAAACAAAAACAGTAGGAAACAAGTGATGTGAGACTTTGGGGTGTGTTTAAGGTGCACCCTATTGGCTTTCAGTGTCACCCGCTTCCCAAGCGGGCTTTGATTTCAGTTTCCTTGGCCTCAGCTGACCACACACATCCTGCTGATGAGGGAGGCTGTGGGGACAGGCTGTGAGTGTCGTGGGTGCTGTGCAGCTGTGTGTACCTGCCCCTCTCCCCTGCAGCCACAGAGGTGAAAGTCTGGTCTGGGGTGGTGCTGTGGAGGTGCAACAGGAGGAGAGTTCTTGTTGCCTTGCTGTAGCTATTCCTGGTGGAGAAGAGGGGGCACATCTGCATGATGCAGGTGAAGATCTCAGATTGCTGCTCTACAAAGCAGCTTTCACAGCTGGTTAGGCCACTGTTGCTCTATGGCTGATAGGCACTTGGATGAGGTTGAAGAGCTGGTGGTTTCTGTTCCCAGGCCAGAATGGCCGTCTAAATTGGTTTCTTTTTTGGAGTGCATTGAAAGGAGATGTTAAAAAGATTTATTTATTTATTTCATTGTTGCCTAAACCTTTCAAGTTGCTTTTCAGACCCTTTTTTGCTCTTTTCCCATCTTCAAAATGTTGCCTTCACATTTTTCTTTTATAGAAGCACCTGCTGTCAGCAAAAGATGTTGGAGTAGCTGGTGTCTATCCATAGGCAGCACTAAGCACCACTGGAGCCTGATATAACTGGATTTATTTTGGGTGCCCCAAAAGCTATTCCTAGTGCCTAATTCTGTACAGAATGCTTTTCATCAGTGGAAAAATATGGTTGAGGGAAAACTGGGTTCCCTGATATAGGGGGGGGAGAGTTTTTCCTTGGAAACTGAGGAGTGTGGAGAGTAAGGGCTGAGACCCACATGATACTGAAGTTTGCAGAAAGGTTTTCCTTTACTGTCACATGGCTCAAACCAAACACTTGCATTTCACAGTGTACTTACCTGTTCTTTATAGAGCCTGGTTAATAAGCCTTGCTCACATGTGGTGTGCAGCAGCTGCTACATTAAACTTGTATATTGCTGGTATGTTGGAGTTTTCCATCTATGCTTGCTCCTTAAAATGCCTCTTACTGGGGGAGCTGCTTTGCCTAATAAAAAACCCCAACCTGAAGTGCTGTGGCTGTTAGGGGCTTTTCTAGAGGAAAAGAACATATATGCACTCTGATTAGGGGTTAAATGCAAATTCTCCTGGGTGAATTAAGGTCTGATTTCAAATGAAACCTAAAAAATAAAGCTTGCAACATGTAGTTTAATAATTTATGGAGTTACTCTTGACTTTTGGTCAAATGTCTTTGTTACTTAAACAGCTTTGCTGCCAACTAAATTTATCAGTGCTGCAGAGAGGACCTAGATGAGTTTTGTTTTCTTTTTGATGTGGTTTTGATGCTAAAATGCCAAACCTTGATGACATTTTAGAACATGTTGGAGAATTTGACAAGTTCCAGAAGCAAACCTTCTTTGTCCTGTGTTTGCTTTCCGCTGCCTTCACCCCGGTCTATGTGGGTGTTGTCTTCTTCGGGTTCATCCCTGAGCACCGCTGCTTCAGCCCCGGTGTCGCAGAGCTGAGCCAGCGCTGTGGCTGGAGCCTGGAGGAGCAGCTCAATCACACAGTGCCTGAGTGGGGTGGCCATGGAGCCAGTTTCAGCAGCCGCTGCAGGAGGTATGAGGTGGACTGGAACTCAACAGGTGTCAGCTGCACCGACCCCCTCGGCAGCCTTGGGGGCAACCGGAGCACCGTCCCTCTCGGGCCCTGCCGCCATGGCTGGGTCTACGACTCCCCAGGGACCTCTCTTGTGACGGAGGTAAAAGCAAACACCTTTCCCCTGTCCCCTCTATTACAGATAAGCCGAGGGATGTGGGAGAGGGTTGGTGTAGCCTTGGCTTGTTAAAAGGCTCCTGCTTACCTGGATGAGGGATCCTCTCTCACTGTGAACTTGCGCTTTGTGCTTTGCAACTGTCTTTCCTCTATCCTCACTGTGAAGCGTTAACCTTGGCTGCTCAGGAGGCTTATATCTCCTGCTGGGGAGCACAGCGTATTTCAGCAAATAAACCCTCAGGCAGATAAAGTCCAGTTCTGAATGAAACTGCTGTCACAGGAGAGAGAGGTCCAATTGGTAGGGGTGTGTAAACAGTGCCTGTGAAGGAGCAGCAGCTTGCAGCACTGCAAACAAAACCTGCTGATCCTGCGGGGACACTGCACAGACCTCCCTCCAGATCTTCCTGCGATCCACACCCAGATGGGAAGATCTCGATGTCTTTCCTTTTTTTAAGGAACAAAGTCTTTCAAAGTTGGTTTAAAACACACTGAAATGGCACTGGGGTGGGGGGGGGGAGTAATAGCTTCCCAAAATGCAGTAGCTTAAGACAGGAATAAACTGTAGAAAAGCTGATGGCTGGTTTGTGTTCTCAGAAGATGTGTGAATAAACTGAAAATGGTATTTCAGCTACGTAAAGCACCCAACCCCCTGAAGTACTCTGAAAATAAATCAGTGTCTGGGATGAAAAATTTGATTGTGTAATAGAAAGTTCCACCAAATTTTTAGGGGTGGTGGAAGTCAGGGTTCTTTCACCCATGTATCTAACACAGACACAGGAGCAGGTAAATTCTGTGCTATAGCAGCTTCAGTATTTGCAGCTTTGTAAGAGGCTGGAGCTACATTTTTGTTGTTGTACTGTAAGTGTACTTCTTTCAGCCAAGTATGGACTGGGTGATACTAAAGAGGAGGCTGGACACCTCAAACAGAAGGTGACTCAGGACTTACACAAAGTGCCAGGCATATCTTGCTGCAAAATGCTTGAGCAGACGCTGTGTGTGATCCAGATGCCCCCACCACAAATCTTCTGAGATTATGGGAAGCTGAAAACTTGCAGTCCATGTGGATTTGTGTTCTCACATCAGTTGTCTTCCCTTTTCTTCTGAAGGGGTGCAAGGTCACTCCTGTGGGCTGCTTCCTCCACAGGATAGCCAGGAACGTCACATGCCTCTGCATTTTGGCAGTGTGTTTTTGGGTATAACTGCCTCTGTAAAGGCTCTCAGACTCTGTTATATTGCCCCTTTCTGTGACACGTAAGCAGCAGAAAGGATCAGGCAGAGTAAAACATGTTACTTTGCCTGAAGCTAAAATTTTACACATGGAAGAATGTCCTCATGGGAAGACCCACAGAGCATCAGGAGGAATATTTGGTTTTATGTTGATGCATAGCTTTAAATGAGCCCAGCTACCAGCAGAGTGGGAAAGGATTCTCAGTCATGTTAGGACAGTTTTTTGAAGTGACTTATGACTTGCTCTTTAAGTAGCTTTTATGTGTATCAACAGCTGAGATATGAGAATTAAGGCTAGATGGCAAATACATGTGGGTATCCATGTGGTATAAAGCTTGGCTCTGGATACAAAATACCTGGTCTCCAGGCATGTTAGATTGTAGAAAACCTTGCTGAGCAGGTTGAGCAGCAGGCCAGAGCAGGGAGAAAATGCTCTGGCCTCGGGCAGATGCAGATCCCTCCTCCCACCCTCCTTCTGGGAGCCAGTGAGTGAGTGCTCCAGGGGAAGTGGGACAAGGCAAGCTTCTGCAAGAGTCTAGGGTACTTTCTGTAGAGTCCTGAGGGGTCTGCAGGGACTGCTGTCGTTTATGAGGGTTTGAGGCAACCAGAACTTCTGAGGAAGGTTCACAGTCACCTACAAAGAAAGCTGTTTGAAAAGCCCAGGGTGATCATCAGGTCCATGCTGGTTTGATTAACAAGGCCTACCTAGCACAAGTTAGGGTCCTGATCCTGACAGGTAATAATAATTAACTTATGCTCTTTCCAGTAATGAGAGATGAGGCACAAATGGAACATACCAATAACTGCTGAAGGGTTCGATCCTGTTTTAAATGTTGGACATGTATCTAAGTCTCATATCTGGGTGCCGATAAAATGGGCTTTGACCCAGAAACTTTAACTGAAGATGACCCATGGATGTGAGCCAGCTCTTCATTTCACTCTCTTGCTTCTAACTGTGGTTGCTCCTTCAGTTTAACCTGGTGTGTGAGGACTCCTGGAAGCTGGACCTCTTTCAGTCTGCTGTGAATGCTGGGTTTTTTATTGGCTCCATGAACGTTGGCTACATAGCAGACAGGTATGTGAGGGCTGGCAGCAAAACCCCCTGACCTCCCTTATCAGCAGCATTCAGCAGCTAGGCTTAGGTGAAGGCAGAGAAAACTTGTGCAACTGCTCTCCTCTCTGTTCCTCTCAAAACAAGGCAAACTGCCTGGCGTTCAGTCACAGCATGAAAAACAACACTGCCTCTTAGGTCATACATGGTGGTTTGCATGGATCTCGTGGCTGGAGAATCCTGCAGAGCCTGCAGGACTACTTTGGGATAACACCCCCCAAACTCCCTACCATGCCACATCAGAGCCATGGGCTGTTAACTGAAGGCAGGAAACACTTGTTTGGAGCCCACAGTTGATGTGTCACACTCTGTGTGGCTGCAGCTTAAAAACAGCTTGCTTTCTTTGGACAGACTTCGAAATAGCAGACACAGATAGGTACAGCAGCATCTGTTTAAATCTGTACAGTTTAAAAGCAGAAATCCCCATGTCCTGGCGTCTTTAGCTCCCTCTTCTGAGACGGCAGAGACAGCTGCCGCAGCCCAGGCAGATGGTGTTAAAAAGAAACAAATGACAGTGTCTGATGGCCAATTTTCCATCTTACTCCACTCCTGCCTAGACTGTTAGTACAGCAGGCTCCGAGTTGCTCCAGCTGTGGAATGCAGCCCACTGTAGGCATCAACACCCATACATACTAGATTATTTTGGAGATGAAGAGTGTGGTATAAAAATCTGTTAAATCTGTGGTATGCAGACATCTAATCATAATATTAACCCATACTTATTTTTCACCTCCATAATATAAAAAAACAAACGGATTACTAATCTGCCTGTTCTAAAAGTCAGGGATAACAGTCACAGTCCAAATACATGTAAATATGGGACTATTGTACTTAAGGATTTTTTCTCTTTCCTGAAAGCCTTTGCAGAACTTTGTGGAATTAGCACAGCAACCTTTCAGGGAATAGAAAAGCAGGTAAGTGAGTAGTAGGTTAAGAATAAACATCCAGTATGTATTTACCCCTTGTATAGGGATTTATTTATTGGATTTTTAAAGATGCACAGAGCTTTTACTAGTTTAAAACTAGTGGTTTGCTTTACACATATTATCTTCCGATCCAGGTTTGGCCGTAAATTTTGCCTCATAACTACAATTCTTGCAAATGCTGTCTTTGGAATCCTTCTGGTCTTTGTGCCTACCTACCTGTGGATAGTCATCATTCGTTTTTTCCAAGGGCTGGTCAGTAAGGGCTGCTGGATCACCGGCTACATCCTGGGTAAGTTCAGACCTTTTCCCAGGAGCAAGGCTGACTGCAGAAGAAGAAAACCCCTAACCTCTCCCTCCCTCAAAAACCAAACCAAAGAAACACCAACACAATCCTGAACAAAGCCATTTTTAAATGCCTCCCATGCTCTTTTATCAAAGAGTTTTCTCCCTCTTTGACTTCTCAGAATTGTTTCAAGCCTGCTCCAGCCCAGTCGCCCATGGAGTGATGACAGAGGAGGCCATCAAAGAAGCAGGCAGATGATGGGGAAAATTGGAGGCATTTTTATGACATAAAGAGCATTAAAGGGTAAACAGAGGCTTCACAGCCTAAAAATAACCGAAGAACACCATGTACTTGCTGAGAACAAGACAAGCTGTTTGGGTATCCGTGCACTTGTCTGAGTGGAGGCCAACCCTGGGGATTGCAAATTAATGTGAGGAGCCAGGTTGTACTGATGCTTCTCCCAGTGGCTTAATACTGATAGCAGTTGATGGTGAAGCATGGGTTGAGGGCAGCTCAGGACCACTTCCTGGTGGAGCTGCCTGGGACTTCTCTGGTGTGGAATTTAGACTCTTGTCAAAAGTAGCCCAAACCAAGCGATCACCAAAACAGCAAATTAAATTCTTGGAATGCTGCCTAATAGAGCCTTCTCTGGATTAGCTCTGAGTGATCCTGTTCACTGTGGTAAGAATGTAAAGGTCAACACTGTAAAAGTCCATTAGGTCTTCCAGCAGGGACATCTTGCAAATGCAGTTATCCAACTGTCTGGTCTAAATAAAACAGAAACGTCTAGCCCACAATGCAGACCGTCTCCTGCCAAGACACGATTGTTCCTTCCTGTGCATATTCTAGGTGCTTCCTGGGCCTCTTAAGTCTTTTTTCCTGGCACAAATGAAATCTTCATCACCTCTTCTGGGGAACTTTATGCCATTTTAGAGTACAAAATCCCTTTCAGGACAATGACTGTCCTTATCCTGATGTTTTCCCTGAGTTACACCTTGTTACTTCTATATTTTTCCTTGAAACTCTCTCATGAGAGGTGTCACGCAGAATCATCCCCAGAACCCTTTTAAACTTGAATCCTTTCCCTAAGGATAAGCCAATACTGAATGCCCAGGGAAGGGTACAAGGACAGAGCAACCTTGTTACTGCACTCTCCTGGGACTCTGGTCCAGATGCAAAACTTTGAGTATGCTTGTGCCTGCCTACTTTGAGCCCTGTATCAGTCAGAATTAACCAATGGGTCTACCCTGTGATGTTCAGCTGCAAAGTGCAGATGCCATCCTGTGGTACAGGCATATCTTATATACTTGCAGTGTAATGCAGGCTGCATTTCAAAACCAAAATAATCGGTCTTATTGTGTTGGAGACATTATGTAGGATAGTGTTAGACAAAATCTATCTGTACACTTTGATACATGTTCAATTTACTCAGATTTCCATGGCAGAGGTCAGTACTGGATGCTGGTGTAAGAGCAGGAGCAGTGTTTTCTCCTCTGTTGGTGTTTGGGTGACAGAAAAGCAAACCTGCCTCTGTGAGCACCAGGGGATTTTGTCCAGAGGCTTTATGCCAGGAAGCTCAGGATTACCAACACAGCTTCTTCAGGGCATTAATGAAGCATTGGTCTTCCAATGTCCCTGCAGAGCAAGTTACTCCTGTGCCGAGCATTCATTCACCTGTGTCTGTGCATGTTTGCAGCAACAGAAGTCGTTGGTCCGAAGTACCGGAGGACGGTGGGCATCCTCTACCAGATGGCCTTCTCCATTGGGCTCCTGGTCTTTGATGCCATTGCTTATGCCATCTCTCACTGGCGGTGGCTGCAGTTCACTGTCACCCTGCCAAGTTCCTTCTTCCTGCTCTACTACTGGTAAACGGGCTTTTGTTTTACCCCTGCCCACAACCTGAAAAACAGCTTCTCTTGCCACCCCAGGCTTGACATGGAGGGAGATTTGGCACCGCTTTTTGGTTGTGAGCACCTCTTAGTGCAAAGAGGAGGTTCACAGCAAAAAGGAGAGGGAAACGGAACTCTCTCAACTGAGATTTCAGTGCGTCTTAGCCTGTGTACCACACCTGACTTGTGTTTAAAAGTCCACTTTGAAAGCAACTTGTGGAGAGTGGTTTAATATCATTTATTATCTTTGTTACGCATTTCATAAAGGGAAAGAAATGCCTTGGCATAATGTACACACTAAAAAAATGGTTATTGAGAGATTATTGAATGCTGACATAACTGTAGGAGGTTATGTTTACATGTTCTTTTAAGAAAAAAACTTGAAGATTTTTGTGGTCTGACCAAAAGAAGACACATGGGTTCACTTTTATTTTGGATTCTTTCCTCTAATTGATATTTTTCAGTTTAATTGCTTTGAATTTGAGAAATTGTCTGGCTGGGTTGAGAGGTGAGGAATAGTAGAAAGAGATTTGTTGTTTTCCTTTCTCTGTATTTGTGAATTGGTAAGCCAGTTCTAGCTTGCTTGCTTCTTCTTAACTTGTGCTGGCACAACTGGAAAATGGCTCCCTAAGAGGAGCCAGTCTGTGGTAAACATGCTGAATAAAACGATACTGCTACTCTCACTTAAAGCTCTTCCCTATCTTTAGTAAACTCGTATCTCAACCCACTACCCCAACTGCGCCTCTTCCCACTTCAACAGTGGGATGTACAACTTTTCCTGATGGGGTGCAGGGGGCAGAAACACAAAAAAAAACAACCAACCAAAAATCCACCTGTCTCTCTTCATCCAAAGCACTCTCTCCAATCTCCATACATGGGAGCACTCTGTGGGCTTTTTATGTTTATATCATCCACTTCCATTGTAGGTGCCTCCCAGAGTCTCCCAGGTGGCTGATATCTCAAGGAAAAAATGACAAAGCCATGAAAATTGTCAGTGATATGGCTAAAACAAATCAGAAAAAGATGCCTTCCCATTTTGTGGTGAGCTCTGGATTAGCTTGTGCATGTAAGTAAGCATCACTGTAGTTCCTTGCAGTAGACGCTTACAGTACTTTGTGCTGACTCTTCTACAGGATATTAAATTTGAAGAGGATGATGGTGGAAAGCAGAGTCCTTCCTTCTTTGATCTTATCAGGACACCACAGATGAGAAAAAACACATTCATTTTGATGTACAACTGGTAAGGTGATAATGATGGAGAACTGTTTTTGAAGCAGTGGTTTTGAGGGCTCCAGCAGGATACAGACCTCTTCAGTTGACTAAGCTTCAATTGTGGTTTAAGCCCTGCTGGTAACTCAACACCACACAGCCATTTGCTCACCCCTCTCCCTTCCCCCTACCCCAGGTCGATGGGGAGGAGAATCAGAAGAATGTAAACCCCAGGGATTGAGATAAGAACAGTTTAATAACTAAAGTACAATATACTGCTGCTATGACTACTACTACTACTACTGATAAGGGAAATAACAAGGGGAAAGAATATAAAACTAACTGGGAAAAGGGAAAAAAAAAACAATAAACACAAGTGATGCACAATACAATTGCTCACCTCTCGCTGACCAATATGTTTGTGTTAGGTGTCCTGTCTCTGCTTCCTCCTGGCTTCCTGTGCCCCTCCTCACTGGCAGAGCATGAGACTGAAATGTCCTTCATTGGAGTAAGCATTACTTAGCAATAACTAAAACACTGATGTGTTGTCAGCACTATTCTCAGGCTAAAGCCAAAACACAACACTGCACCAGCTACTAAGAAGAAAAAAATAATTGCTGTAGCTGAAACCAGGACACTAACAAAGCCAGGATGTTCTTCTCCACCCAGGTTCACAAGCTCCGTCCTCTACCAGGGGCTTATCATGCACATGGGAGTAGCTGCTGGGAACATGTACCTGGATTTCCTCTATTCTGCGCTTGTTGAGTTCCCAGCTGCCTTCATCATCATCATCACCATTGACCGCATTGGGCGACGTTACCCCTGGGCTGTGGCCAACATTGTGGCTGGGGTCGCCTGCCTTGTCACAGCCCTGATCCCAGAGGGTGAGTCACCTGTGTGAGGCCATGTGAGGGTTCCCATTCCTGCATTCACACAGGTGAAACAAGGCCCCTTAAAAATATAAAGTGACATGGGATCAGAGGTCCCCTTAAAATAACATTGGTGTATTGATACCCTATGTTGGGATACTTTTAGGTGTGCTGAGTGCATTTTCTCTGCAGACATACATTGGCTAAAAGTGATTGCTGCTTGCATCGGGAGAATGGGAATCACAATGGCTTTTGAAATGGTTTGCTTTGTAAACACCGAACTGTATCCAACATACATCAGGTAGGTGCATCCTCCTCCCCATTGGCATTTGCTCTGAAAAAGTAGAGAAAATAAGAGTGGATGAAGTCCCACATAGTGTTTGGATTTACCCTGTGCAGGGGTCAGAGTTGTCGTCCACCCCATTCCGTCTGCAGTACTCTGATACTAACATGATCCCTTTGCTGTTGAACCAGGAACCTTGGGGTGATGGTCTGCTCCTCCTTGTGTGATATTGGTGGAGTCATCGTCCCATTCATTGTGTACAGACTGGTGGAAGTGTGGCACGATCTGCCACTCATAGTCTTTTGTAAGTGTCACCTTACCTCCTTGCTGGCCACTTCTGGGGTGCCACAGTGGGTCCCAAATTTCAAAGGGAGGAAGAAACCACTTAAGGCAGTTGCTCCAAGTTCAGCAGAAGCTCCTTGCTGTCTGCACAAGCCACAGTCTCAGTTCATAACAACCTGAATCTTGTTTATGCATTCATGTCTCCTTTGCCCTTATTATTTTTCCTTGCATTTTAAGGGAAATTAGAAGCGAATAGTGGTGGGACAGATGGCAAAGAGTTGAGAAGCATTTTGATGAGATTAATATTTGATGGATTCAAATGTGATGAGTTACAGCTCTTCTGTGAGGTTTCAGTCCAGGAGCCAAAACCTAGAATTTCACATCACTGCCTGTTTAATGGTGTACAAGTGTGGCTTTTATTCTCCTGCTTTTCTGACAGTCTGTTAGCTGGCTATTCTTGAGCTTTTAGGAAAGAGGTTGGTAAATAGATGGAAGATAAGTGTTGTCAGGCTAGTGGCTTGAACTCTCTGGTCAGGGTCTGCAGAACTGTTCTGAATCTTTAGATCAGCACACTATTTATAGAGAAATGTCTTCAATGGCAATATGCAGTTTTTAACAGACAGGACACCTAGGAGGGTGCTTAGTAGATTTAAAATATAGGTGCCAAACATGTACAAAGTGGGTAAAAAATTATCAGTGGGAAAGTTAATCACATTGTGTAGGAGATAATACATTTTCCATTATTTTCTAATCTCTTGTGAATGGCAGAAACACTGAATCCATTTCCTGGAACACTCTCACACTAGAAAAGGTCCTTTTCTCTATAAAGGAAGGCTCATCTGTCCAGTCTGAGATGCCCTAGTTCAGTGCATAACTCGAAACTGAACTTGGCTTATTGCTATTTCCATGTGGCAGCCTCTTCCTTCAGAGGTGGAATGGCAGTTTTGCATATAGAGCCTTGAGGTGCATGTCTTGTAGAAGGAGGAAATAAAATTCTATTCACAAGTCCTTTGTGTCAGACAGTAGAAAGTGTTGTATATGTTGGAAATTCGTATATGTTAACAAGCTCTTTGTGTATCTGTTTGATTTGAAGCTGTGCTTGGTTTGATTGCTGGTGGATTGGTGTTGCTTCTACCTGAAACTAAAGGAAGAGTTTTGCCTGAGACCGTTGAAGATGTTGAAAACTTTCACAGGTGAGTCAGGATGATAAACTCCTAGCAGATTTCACTTGAAATGGTGAAAAATCCCTGCCCAGAGCTCTCTGGGGAAACCCAGGGTTACTTGGCTGCCTCCTGTGTTTCCAAGAAGCTGCTAGTTAGTTCCCGGACTCTTCTTGGAGTGGTTTTGGACTCTTGATCATTTCTCTACCTAGGCATTTGAAAACAAGCAGGGTACGCTTTACTGGCCTGTGAATAACAGCAACAGCACTAGTCTCTCAAACCTGCTGCAACACTATTAAGGACAACTTTATTTGTATTTAAAAAAAACTAATAGTGGAACAGAAAAAGGGCAGTTTTGATAGCAGCTTACTTGTGTGGTGGTTGAAACACCACTATCTACTGAGGAGCCAGAGCAAACCTAGAACATTAGGTGCTCATTTTCTCTGGGGCAGAGGCAGAGTAAGTGAAGCATTGAAGTTAGGTGCTTACTGAACACCTGCATTCCTGGTTTGCTGCTCATGTCTTGTTATTCTTTCAGGCAAAGTGCTCCAAAGGCCAAAAAAATCTATCTCCATGTCCAAACATCAGAAGTAGCAGACGACTGAAGAAGGCTTAACTCTTCCTGGGCAGGCTGCTTTAGGGCACTAGCATAGAAAGGCAAATTGCAATATAAATGCTCTCTAAAATGTCTTGCCTCATTTTTGTGTCCCCCCTCCCTGTTTATTCTTTATTATACAAGGTTTAGGGGTTTCTGATGGGATTGTCCCTATTACTGCATAGCTGCTTCCCTCTCTGATAAATATTGTTTAGGACTGGGAAATTTCTGGACTGGCTCTATGTGGACCTCAGCATGGGGACAGATATTAGCAGCTTGGGGATACTGGAATCCATCCCCAAAGAACTTGTCTTGTTAAACAGGATTGTCATAGTGGATAATCTTTTTCTTTTTTTTTTTCTGGTTCTGCACTTCAGGGAGCATTGGGGACAGAACTGGGTCTGCCAGGAAACAGCCAACACCTTTCACAAATTTCCTAGTCCATCCCATTAAGCAGCACTAACAGACCTGGAGTTGCAGAGTTAAAAAGCATAGCAGTGTTGTGGCTCTCCTTCACTGTTCATGTTGCTGGTCCCCAGCCCTGCTCTAAAATGCCGCTTTTCATTAAAGGTGCTGTAAGCAGGGCACAAGCTACTGCTGCCCTTTGATCACCTTCAGGGAGAGAGTTCCCAGCTGTGCAAAGTGTTGCTGGAATCTTGCAGGCAGGGTGAAATTAACCCAGGATGGCTTCCCAGTGCAGTGGTACGGTGACCTTGCCCTTGCTTTCAACTGGCCTGAGCCTCAGTTAATGTTCAGTGTTGCTGTGGGGGCCTCAAGGGCAGGGAAGCATGTTGTCCAGTGAAGCAGGGCCATGACAAGGTCGCTCTGAGATGGGACTGAATAGGAATTACGTGACTTTGTCCTAGGCAGTTGCAAAGCTAGTATTTGCTTCTGGGTCAGAGGAACAAGCTGGTCCCGAGGTGGGCAAGAAGGACAGTGGGGATATAATTATTTGTCCTGTGGAGCTGGTGTCCTGCTATGGTTGCAGAGGTGTCTGCTCTCCGACAAAAGAAATCAGTCAGAACAGCTGTCTTTATTATAATTCATTGATTCATAGAATCATAGATTCAAAACCATTGAGTTGAAATCTGCAGAAATAAAATGGAGAGGTGACATGAAGTCAAGCCCTTGGGCAGAGGGAACAGAAAAATGCCAGATCTCATCTGATGTTGTCTATAAGCTTGTGGAAGCTTGGGTCATAAATGCCTGCATGTAAGCAAAGTGCAGTTTGCAGTATATAGCACAGTGTCCCTGTTGGCTTTTGTTACACACAGTTCCTCAAAAATTGGAAGGCACAAGTAGGGGTCAGTCCTGATGCTGAACAGGGGGTTCCTGTGTGGCAAACCAAAGGATTTGAAGAGGCTGGAGATTTGATGGTCCCTGTTCCCTTCTCTATTCATTTTAGAATCATAGAATGGTTTGGGTTGGAAAGGACCTTAAGATCATCAAGTTCTAACCCCTGTGACATGGGCAGGGACACCTCACACTAGACCATGCTGCCCAAGAGTGTCCAACCTGGCCTTGAACACTTGAGTCAGAGTCTCTATCTGCTTCCCCCTTCCCAACATTTTTTGTCTTAGGGGAAGCTCAGTGGACTCCCCTGGCTTACTTTGTCAGGTCGCTGTGTACTTCTGGTTAATGACTTAGCTAGTGAGTTCAAGAAATGCTCTGACAGACCATCTTTCAAAGCTGCACTGGCTTTTTAATGGGGATCTTGTTTGATAACTGTGATCTTTACCCATTTTCTCATCAATTTTGCCTGACTATTGAGCTCTTCTTGATAAGGGTTTTGTATATCCCTGTTCCTTTTAATTCCCTGTATCACTGTGACTCACTGATAGTCAGAAATAAATTGTTTCCAAAGGAAACAAGCTTACTGGAATACTGGAAAGGCATCTGTTTCTAGCTGACAGAGTTACATATTCAGTTAGAAATATGATTTATAAAAAACATTAAATTAGTTAATGTCCACTTACAAAAATAGCATAATAAATGCCAGCCAAAATAAATGTCTTCTGTTCTCCACAATAACATCCCATCACTCAAACTTCCCTCCTGTCATAAGCCTCATACACAGACAGTTTTGGCTTGCCTTGAAGTCGAGTCCAAGAGAGCCTCATCAGACCATGAGAAGAGCCCTCTCCTGCAACAGTCCTTTCCCAGTACTCAGCTCTGAATGGCAGAAGTGCAATGCTGCGTGGTAGCACTGACATTAGGAGCTCTCTAGGGACACAGAGCTGCCGTTTCCAAGGCACCTCTGACTCCTGAATGTCAAAATTGGCACCTGATCTGTGGTCAGAGACTGATCAAGTACATGAGTAGTAGGTCTAATTCCATAGAGAGAAACATGTTTGGAAAGAGCTTATGAAACCTTCCCTGGAGCACCTGAAGTGTTTGCAGGAGCTGTCCCAGGTATGACAAGCTGCACAGAAAAAACAGCACTGACTGGCCGTCTGGCGTGAAGAAAACGGATACCTCAAATCCAGCAAACACAGAATTCATAGGCCTTTTCCCCATTCCTTCTATTAAATTTGAGGCTTCTGGGTTTGTATTTTCCTTAACTCTCTCTGGGTATGGGATTTTGTACTGCTCTTGGGTGCTTGCAGTGCAGGAACCATGGTGAATTGGGGCAAGATGGCAGTGAGCAGAGCAGTAGAAACCCCCTCGATATTATGAAATACATGCGATTTACCTTAGCAGCAATGATACACTACTTCATGTCTTTTCACACCTCTGCTTGGTAAGAGGTGTGTTGATAAAAAAGACCCTTGAATATGAGTATTTTGACACAGAAAAAGGGGTATTTCAGGTATAAAAAGCTGTGAGTCACCTGAAGAATGGTGCTTCTAATGGTTGCAAGATCTGTTCACTGCTCCTTCATATCCTGAAATGCCTGGACAAATGGCTGCTATGTCTCCCCTCTTTTGCTCTCATAATCTGTGCATCTTTATCTGTGTCAGTTCTGGGGAAAAGGATGGAATATGTTCAAATTCACTAGAAGCCTGGCCAGAAAACAAGAATTTAGATCTAAGTGAAAGGGGTGTGGGGGGGGAGGCTGACATATTTTTCCATTGTAAAAATGAAACCAAAATCTTCCCAAATGGGTGTGAGGAAAAGCAAAAATTGGCATAAATGTGTCAACTTTTGTCCTTCAAAGCAGATGGGGATTTCCAGCCCACAGCTGAAAACTGGTTGTAAGATTTTTGCTGTACTGCTGTAGCTGTTTGATGTCTTTCACCTGACAGGGCCTTTTGTCAGAAGTGTAGCTGTGCACAAGATGTGGCTAGAAAGAATTACTTAGATAAACCACTATCTTCTAATGAAAAATCCATTTAAGCAGAAAGTTGAAAACCCCCATGCTCTGGTTCACTGGCAGTGAGATAATTGTTTACTGAGGGCTGGAAAATGGTCTGCCCAATCTCTGTATAAGTGAGCTTCTTCACAAGCATGTTTATCTGTGTGGAGGAATAGGTTGGGATTACCTGGGACTGTGGTAGCCACTTTCCCCACAAACATTGTGTGCACAACCTAACTGATGCTGGTTCTGCCTGTAATGAAACACGGGAGCACAGGCTAGTGAGACAAACCCAGTCCCATCCTTACGTTGAGGCACTGCAGAAGTACTATGGGGGATGGCTCTGCCTTTTTGCATTGATCCTCCCCCTTGGAGGAGGGGGAAAGTGAAAAGAAGGGAACAGTGGCAATATGTGTCCAACAGAAATTATTTTGGGGCCTGATCAGCATGGGACAAAGGCTACTCCTCATTGTGCTCTCCTGTGCTCTGAGAATGCAAAGGGAAAAAGCCCATTTCTCCAAGACAGACTGACTGTACAGAAGGAGTGTTCACCCCGTGTTACCTTCATCTCTTCAAATTCCAGTCTAAGCCTCTCACTATTTTACTGAAAAACATGGTAAACATACACAGGAAGGTCAGCTACAAACCATTCAAATGGTTTAGATTCTAATCTGAAAAAAAAAAAAAACCCACTGGGCAGATATATGGCACAATGACATTCATGACTGAAAAGAGAGATCCACCTACATCCAGAGCTAACTGTGAAAAAGGGGGACCAAAGAAAATTGAGGAAGGAGCACCTTCTGTTTCTGAGAAAAATTCTGTTTTGAAACTAATTTATGGCCACCTGGATACTGTTAAAATTAATGTGAAACAAATTTATCACAAAGATGGGCAAATATTTCTTGGTGTGTGAGTTAAAATTTAATCTCAAACTCTGAGCTCGCATTGCCGTTTGCCACTGTGAAAGAAAACAATATCTCTTCATTTGTGAATGTGCAAATTTCCTGTGGAGACACTGAGAGGCTGTAAAAGTGGAGCTACACTGTGGCATTTATGTGGACTCTTAGCTCACAACAGCCTTTGAAAACTGGGGCTTAGGACCCACCATCCACCCCTTTGTAAAGTGACACATGGACCTTTTGAATCAAGTTTTAATTGCATTCCCCTTTGAATCATTAGTGTTGTTCAGCAGCATGCAGAAAGCAGATAACCAGAGGAAACAGTTCATTTCACACCTATGTACTACCTACCTACCTGCCTGCTATATAGTCAGTGCTCACAGAGACAATAAAAAGCAATGATCACACATGACTGGAAGAGGTCCAGCTTCCAGCAGTTCTCACACACCAGGTTAAACTGCAAGAGCAACCATAGTTAGAAGAGTGGGAATAGTCAACACAGACCATGGCTGTTTGAGGAGGAGAGAAACCAATGACACACAACTAGAAAAGCTAAGCCTCTAATCTCTTAAACTAACATCTGCAGTACATCTTGTCTGGATTTTCCCAAACCCCATGGAAGAGTTACATCCTGGAAAATGATTGCAGAATGGCACATGAGGACAGTGAGAAAGGAGAGAAATTCTGAGCAAATTAAAAACTTCAGAAATATCTCCCTTCTACCTATCTACGTGAAATCTGCAGGACACTTGGAGAATCATTTCCTTCTCAGGTTCCAAGGGCTGCCTCTAACTGTGTATTATCTAGTGGCACGAAAGCAGTGCTGGGCATGAGAGGTGGCAGGGCTGCCATGAGCCCTGCTGGAGGAGGGCCAAGACATGGCTGTCCTGCTTC